CCTTTTCATAAGCCTTCCTTTTGCACAAGCCTCATTATCCACCTACGAATTCTGCCTTTTGAGCCAAAATGAGAAGCTATGTTTTTTTTCCACTTTCGCGTACACCTTTCCTCCCCCGCTAATCATCATTTTATTTTTGACATTTTTTGAGATTTAGGCACACAAATACAGTATATTTAGAAGGCAAGAGGAAAGTGTGGAGGATTGAGCAATTCTTTAGATTCTAAGAGCTATCAAAAAAATGGCAAAGAATTTTTGTAGACAGGGCTATCATCTTCAACTCTTTCATATGCAGAGAGGGAGCAAAAAAAAGGTAAGTGAGGGTACAAATATATAGAAATACATTTAAAAGAAAGCAATAAAAAAAGCGAATTTTGCAGTCTCCTCAATTATATCCGAGCTGGGCATTGAATTAGAAGCTAATATTTTGTAAATTCTACTAGTAAAAATAGTAATCTACTAATAGTGTTCAAGCCAAAACTTAACGTGCTCAAAAATCATTCCAATTTTACAAAAGTGTTCTTCATTCTGGTTCTTTCCTTCTAACGCTAGCCATTACTACATGCTCATCTGTTACATGATTGTCAAAAGTTTTTCGTTATGAGTCCATCAAATATAGAATCAGCGAAGATTGAAACCACATTGAGTCAATACAAGAAAAGAAGCAAGATAGAAACTTTAGGAAAGTCTGGAGTTCTCAAAGTTACCAAAGCGAATAGCCAAAATTTGAAACAATCCAATTCTAAAAAATGGCGCTTTTGTCGCTTGATTGGTATCTGTAGCAGTCCCCCTTAGGTAAAGTTGCAGGCGGATTCGTTAATCTCGTTGCCGTCCACTACCGTAATTGAGGATCTGTGCAGAATGAATATGTTTTTTATGATCAGCATGTCAAATAACCTCTTTGGGCAAGTTTCATGCAAATCTGTGGGGCATCACCTCTAATACCGTAATCCCATATTAGAGCTCTTTCGAGCGTAATGGATATGATTTTCGTGATCAGCATGTCAATAATCTTCTGAGCGAGGTAAAGCAAAGTTCAAAACTTCAAATGGGCATGGTGATGTGAAATTCAACCTTTTTGATGAGATGATAGTCAAGGCTAGGCCCCTATGAAGCATGAATGATTCTCTAAGATGAAATGTTGATAAAACTATCCAATAACTTTATCCTGCTTGAATGCAATGAATGCGGAGCTACAGCTTGGAGTTACTATTACAGCAATCAATAATTAAAAATTAACAAGAAGAAATTACTGTCTAGGATAATGGGCGTATCAGAAAGAGCAACGAACGAGGATCAATACAAACGATCACGGATTTCACTTTCATCCATCCCAGCTAGGAAATGGGCGTGTTCAGCCCAGCGCTATCCAGTTGCGCTTTGTTCTCCTCCTAATCACTATCACCCCTCTATCAATGTTGGAAGAACGCGGTGCGATGAGTAGGGGGCGACTCACTACGGCGTCGCCGAGATTCGGCTCGAGTGAAAACCCGAAATGCTGCTATCGGACGGTGCGATTATCGGATAGCGAGTGTTTCGCCCCAGTGAAAAGTGAAGTTTACGCAAACACACCCGTTTTTGCGGTGAACCATAACCATTAGGTGATGGTCGGCGTGTGATAAATGTCAGCGCAGCGGACAGGTGAGGCGTAATTGCGGACTACGTACGTCATCTGTGAATTGCAGCCGTTTCACTTATTGAGTCTTCATTATGCACTAATTGCTTTATTACAAAACAGTGAATAAACATTTTATTTAAAAATTGTCAAAAATTTCGTTAGCCTTTGCGGTAGCTTTGGTGTTCCTGGGAGTATTCCACGAGAATTCATCAACTTGATAGCCAACAATGTAACTTTTAATCATCCATCAATACTTTCTACAAAAGAACGAGATCGCTATGAGCATCCAAGATACTTCTTGCTATCGAAAGTAGAACAGTATCTTAAAAAAGGAAAACACAAAGTGAAATCTTGTAAATAGTGGCACATTTGACTCAAGATCTGCATTCCGCATCTCATGTCAAAAGTTAAGAAATGTAGACTCTTGAAAATGAAAAAAAAACCTCTTTTAATAATGAAGTTCAATGTCAAAAGGTTAACTTCCTTAGCAAACTAAAAGAAGCTTTTTTTCGTTTTTAAAGCTGCCGTCTACTTTTCTCAAGTACAATGAAACGCCCTACAGAGAAGTGCATTTCGCTGTCAGAGAGTCCCGTAAGGCAAGCTGTAAGGTTGTGAATCAAAAAAAAAATTGTAGTTCGTTGACGGAATAATTACTTATCAGAAAAATATCCTGTCGATCAACAGTGCCGCATAAGTCAGTCTGATTTGCATATGTAATTGCAATCTTTGAGCATTTCCATCATGGTCACTATGTTCTAAATTATTTCTATGATTTTATTTCTATTACTATATTTATGAGATGCACTCAAAATCATTGAATTGTATAGTGATGTATATACTTGTTTGTGAATCAATGGATATCATACTTTTCTGAGCTAGTTTTTTCTAAAGCAATGTTATTTTTGGCATATCCACAAGGAAAAAGAACAGTTAAATAATACCATTTCCATCTTTAATATGCTCGTACACTACACATACGTATTACTGAAAAAAAATCTTCAAAAACCAGAAATCTCGAAAGGCCGTTTGCGCAACTCATCTTCATTGCCTCTCCATCCTTACAATCGCTAAACACTAAACCAGCAAAGGAGAGTAGGACTTCTAAAAAATGAAAAATGCACAGCGATGATCTGCACCGAATAGTCCAGGTCTGTCACAATAGTAGATGTAAAAACCTAAACGATCAACAGTTTGTCTGCAAGTATATCATGAAAGCCTCACAATTAAATGCCGCATTTAAGTACTTTAAACCCTAATGGAGATATCTTGATTGCCACCTCGTCGTACATCGACTCCAAATGTAGCAGGGATTGGGGGAATAGGTAAACACATGCTCCCATGGGAAATCAGATGGAAGTCTGTAGGAACTTAATCAGATCTGATCGCAAAGATGACTTCATTAACACGTTTGCTGTAACTTCTTCCCACTTCCATGAACTCAAAGTTAGGGAACTTGTTCTCTACTAACCAACTCGACAATGATTCAGAATAGCTTAACTATATTCACATGTCCTCCTTGCGAGAAAATGTGGATTCTCACGCTAGCGTGAGAAAACATAGGCGGGCGAGTCATTGGCCAATCACAGCATATGCAACCCATTGCAACGACCAATCATAGCGTCACACAG